TACCACCCCCCCCAGAAGCCTTCTTTCCCTGCCGTGTGGTTTTTTCTCTTTTTTTTTTTTTTTTTTTTTTTTCTGAGCACCTAGTTTCTACACTTACCAAGAAGCAGGAATACAAGCAACAAAAGTTGTGGTGTTCAAATTCAGCAGAATTCAGCAACTTCACTGTTAAGTATAAAGTCAGACACATATACAAAGTGAAGCAGGCTTCTGCGTTTCTGCTTTCACTAGACATTTTTTTCCAGTTATATTTTTCCCTCCGTATCTGCAGTTGAATTTAACGCCCCCCCCCCAAAAAAAAAAAAAATAAACTACCCACAACAAAAAAAAGAATCAAAGAAGAAAAGACCCCAGCAGAGCACATAAGAACCTTTCAGTTCCCGAGCACAGAGGTCAGAGATGGGTCTCACTGACTTCACTGTACAAAATCAAACTCCTTCCCCTCCAGTAGTTTATGGAGAAATGAAAAGAGGTTACAGGAAGGAACACAACAGATTATTTCTTGTATAGCTGAGCTGGAAAAATGGAAGACAAATACACAGCTGTTCTTTTGCAGGGCAAGGCTTGGTAACAGGTGAAACAACAACTGCGCACTTTTAGATTTCATGATCCTAGTCAATATAGTTGGATTTGTGCCCCTGATATGAGAATTGCCTCCTTGTGCAACTTTAAGTGGATTCAGTTCTACTGAGCATTTCACTTCGGTTGCAAGCCAATTTGCACCTTGTTGATTGTCCCCTAACCAATTTTATGGCCTTTTAATGAAGGGAATAATTATTATATTGAGAGGACTTTACAGGCTTTGATCTTTTTTTCTTTTTTCAAACCAGCTTCTTTACTTTTCTCTGTGTTATTACAGCAGAAATGTGCTTATTTCATTTTTAGCTTTGACTGGTACAATATGAAGAGTATGTATTGTTTATGCAGAAATCTCACATGCTAGCTGAGATAGTTGATTTTCATTAAAATTCCTGTACAGAAGTATGTTACCTATCACACTTCTCCAGACCTTAGTAAGGGTGGTGTCTAGTTTTGGGAGAGATTGACTGTTTATTTGCATTGTAAGGAATATCAGAGAGCAAGTTTGTAGAACTACAGTGGGAGCTAAAATCTACTTGTATTCAAAAGAGAACTGGTGTAGTCTATGTTTTTAAGGTTTGGGGTTTTTTTAAGGGATTTATTCAGTCAGCTCCTTACAAGGTGCTTTCTACATCTTGCATTATGATTGCTAGTCACAACATTAAATTAACTCATAGGCTAAGTCACCTGTTGTTTCTACTCCTTAGTGGGGTGACTGGGGCTTTTGTAACAGTAGAGGAAGCACTGAAAGTACGTGCTGCAGACACTTGCCCAGGCATACGTTGCTGTGGAAGTTCATTAAATTTTCTTTCCATGAAAATTTTAAGACAAAACTTACTTGTATACCAGTATACTGAAGATAAAGATATTATCCCTTCAGTACCATTTTTCACTGTTTTTGTTAAAGCTCAGAATAAACAATTGCTCAAATCTCTTCAATGTTTGCACTTCAGTAAATCCAGTATGTGTAAGGAAGTCCAGTGAAGCCACAGAATCTTGGATTTCTGTTCATTTAAAAAAAAAAAAAGTTTCATATTTATTGTTTGTGTTTCTGTTCTCACATACTAAGGGATATAATTGAGTAGAAAGGGGATCTATTTTTCTTGTGCTGATTTTGCCATTGTAACAGGTGGTCATGTTGCAGTTTCTCATTCTGTGAACTATGCTGGTTTTATGAACTTCTTTTTTTTTTTTTTCTCGTTTTAGTCAGAAGGCAGCCTCTTAATAGGAAAGCTCTCAGGAGAGGTCTGCTTGCCTAATGAAATTTATCAGGTAACACAGGTCAGAGTGTAGAAATAAGGTCAAAGTAAAGGGAGAATCTTATATGTACCCTGATTTCAATAATTAAAAATCTGACTGTGTCTTTGGTTCATATTGCTTTAGGCCTTCCAGAGGCAAGTGCATGAAAGTTTGACTCAGCTGGAACTGATCAATAAACAATATCGCCGCCTGGCCCGTGAGAACCGCACTGACGCTGACTGCAGCCTCAAGCAGATGGTTCATGAGGGGAACCAGAGATGGGACAACTTACAAAAGCGAGTTACCTCCATCCTGCGCAGACTAAAAGTATTTTTCCTTTTTTAAGCCCTTTGGTACTATGCTTATAAATCAGGGGTACTCCAGAAGCTTCCAGTTTAATACATTTGCACAGTGTTTTTGAGGGGATTTCTACCTTTGGAAGAGGAAGGGAGCTAATCCATTTACTTTGTCTGAGGTAACCAAAGCATGAAGTCTCCAAACACCACCGCCCTCATGGAAGATAACTTTCATAGGCCAGCTAATTGCAGCTATAGTTGATGCTACTGAAAAAGGAACCTTAGAAAGCACACAGGAAATGAAAGAAGATGTACTGAGTCTAGCTTTGGTTTGAAGGGCATGAAAGCAGTTTTTTGAGAGAACCACTATTGCTGGGTTTTTGTGGGTTGTTTACATGTCACTCCATTTTCCACCCCTCAGCATTTTATTGGCCAGCGTGAGGAGTTTGAGACAGCACGTGATAGCATCCTGGTATGGCTAACAGAGATGGACCTGCAGCTGACCAACATTGAGCATTTCTCAGAGTGTGATGTCCAAGCAAAGATAAAGCAACTTAAGGTAAAGAATGATTGAATGGTAATAGGAGGGGAGATGAGAGAAGGGATAAAAACATTCTTGATGGGAAAAGTACTTGCAGGCAGAGACTTCAACCTCAGGAGTTGTGGGCTATGTGAGATGTAAATACGTACTTTCCTGACAGAGTGGAACGTCTTTGCACTGTGAAAAATTTTTTAAAAACCAGGTGTGATAGTGTCCATACCCTAATCAAAAGAGGAAATACTGATAAACTATTAATGTCAAGTCTGCATTATTGTTGACCCCTAAAAATTACTCCATTTGTCAATCATTTCTGCATCAGAAAAATAATTATCTGGAGAGAAAAATATCAAATGCTATGTTGTCCAAAATTCCAGTGTGTTAGCTTTAGCATCTGTGTTCATTCTAGACGTTTGGTCATGGGCATGGCTTGTTTAGAGAAGAGCTTTCTTTCCAAATACAACAAGTGAGGAATGAGATGGTAAACCATGAAGTATCACTGTTTTTGGCTACAAAGACTGTGGAATGCTAAATTTAATTGCTCATTGTTGCTCATGCCAGAATATTGTGAACGATCCCTGTTTGTTAGCCACACCATTCTTGCTGAAAAAACTCTTAAGACTTGCATTTTTAATAACTTAGGTTGTTGTAATGTTGATTTCATTGATAAAGCGTGGGCTTTTCTTGTATGCAGGCTTTCCAGCAAGAAATTTCACTGAACAACAACAAAATTGAGCAGATAATTGTGCAGGGTGAGCAACTCATTGAGAAAAGTGAGCCCATAGATGCAGCTGTCATTGAAGAAGAACTAGATGAGCTGCGTCGTTACTGTCAAGAGGTCTTTGGACGTGTGGAACGCTATCACAAGAAACTCATCCGTCTTCCTGTGTGTATACTTACATAGATATATGCATGTTTGTTTGGTTTGTTGCCATTTTGCAAGTGTGAGAATGAGGAGGGAGAAAGATGTTGAAATGAACTAACATGAAACTTCTGTAACTTTCCAAAAATCCTGTGGTTTAATTTTGTTACAACCCTGACCATCTTCCCCCCTTCATTATATGCTATTTATGTCCTGTTCAGAGAGCAAACTCTACAGATCTGGATTTTTTGTAAATCAGAATGAAAATCCATGCAAACTGGAGATTTATAGAGACAGAAATTTGTCTCCAGAACTGAACACAGAGCTAAATCAGTGAGAGCAAAACGATTTTTGGTAGCTCAAGTCCTACTGAAGGAAAGGAACAAAACTCAGGGTTTTCAAAGCATGAAAGAGTATAATGAGCGTGATCACCATAAAGGTCACTTAGCTTCCTTTTTCTTGATTCCAGAGTTTTCTTTAACATGATGTCTGCATTGCAGTGGCATCAGTAAAAAGTCTGGAGACATTTGGTTGGTGTGAGACACTGTGGTGCCTTAAGTAATTAAAATGAGCTGGCATTATGAACTTTTTTTGTTGCTTTGGTTTTTTAGTGCACCTTAAAATAATGGAGAAGTGCAAAAAAATGCTAAATGGAAACCCCATCAATGTGACTGTTGCCTAATGCTGCTTTATTTCACTGACCCAGGCTGACCATGCAGTGCCTCTGTGTGTTTCATTGATTGGATCTGTTTGCATTATGCTTCTAGCTGACAGATGACGAACATGACCTCTCTGACAGAGAGGTGGATCTGGATGAATCAGCAGATGTCTCTGACATACACTGGCATGACAAATCTGCGGACAGCGTTCTCTCCCCGCACCCCTCTTCCAACCTCTCGCTGCCTCTTTCCCAGCCGGTGAGAAGCGAGCGATCAGGGCGAGATACTCCTGCGAGCGTGGACTCCATTCCCCTGGAGTGGGATCATGACTACGACCTTAGCAGAGACCTAGAGACAGCCATTTCACGGGCACTACACTCTGAGGAAGAAGATGGAGGACAAGAGAAGGACTTCTACCTCAGAGGAGCAGCTGGTATAGCAGGTATGGTGGCAAATTGTGTGTCCTGTTCTCTGCTAGTAAAAAGACGCAAATGTTACATGGTTGATTACTTGGCCAAGATGCTCATGGAAAAAATATTTTAAATAGCCTCTGAAGATTTTAAATAGCTTTCCCTAAATGACCCCAGTGGCCTTCTGACCTTAGACACAGCAATGGAGATTCCTGGATGACTGCAGCCTTGGAAAATCGCAAAGGCATATATGATAAGACAGGGAATTGGCTGTGCCTCTATGCTTGTGGCCTGCCAGATGGGATATGTCATCTGTAACAGCAATGCGTCATAAGTTATTCTGACTAGAAGAAGCCATGCTGGATATGGCAAGAAGCACAGAACAAACTGATGAAGAAGTGCTGTGGGAGAGATCTGCAGACAAAATCATCAAGTGCTTAAGTAAATCTTAACTCAGTCCTTACCCAGGCAAGACTCCAGCAACTGACTGTTTAGCCTGAGCTGAGATCATAGGTCTTGCTCTCCAGTGAAGCTGGAAATCCTTTCTAAGTGTGTGTGCTTTGTGTAATAAATCCTAGCGAGTGAAAGTGCCCAAATGCAGCCAGTTGTGGGGGAAGACATAATGGAATATGATACTCTGATCCTGTGGCTGTCTTTCACTTTCCAGGTCATTTGAAAAGAGTCAGGTTTGCCTGGATATTAAGAGACTTTGTAGCAGGCTCCCTGTGTTTCAGTATTCATCTTTTCCTTCTCCAGAAAGGATGTTTGCTGTTGGAACGGTTTAGATATTCCATCCTGTGAAAAGGACTCCTGTAAGGAGACAGCCATTGCTGAGCTGTCAATTTAGACTTTCCTTTTATTTTTTCAGATGTAGAGATCCCTGAAACTCTTGAGGCCTATGTAACACTCACAGAAAACGCACTCAAAAATATCTCTGGTAGGCATCAAAAAAGACTAAGCATAGCTAGATGCAAATACCACAGTGCACAAGCATAACTTCTTTCTCTTAGCATCTGCTATACTTTTCACAACTTACAAGATAAATATTTCTTACATGGCAGCATTGGCATGTTAACGTAGAAGCATCCTGCTTTACTACTGTGCTTAAAGGTAGTATTAGGTGCATGGATGAAACAATGATGTTTGAAGTATCGGCCCTCCTACCTCTGCTAACTAGACTAAACTGACCACTAGGTTACTCTGATTGGTCTTTATTCTCTGGAGTCCCTCGACAGGAATTAATCCTTCGTTATGTCTCCGAGAGAAAAGCAATTTCTGCAAAGATTAAGGCAGAAGAAAAGATGTAGATCAAAACCTAATTGTTTGGTTTGCACTTATTCTTTTTAACACAGACACAGCTTTGATTATTACTTGGATATAAACTTTTAGGTTAGTTGTTTTTTCATGTGATAACAATGCCAAGGTGAGGTACTGCAGTCCAATGTCTTTATCTTAGTCTTTTATATTGGAAGATGTATTTTCTTTCATATTACATTTTTACACAAGAATAAACCTACTGTTTCATTTTTTAGGTGACCCTCTCAGAGGGATTACATGCACTTACAAATATTTCCTCTCTTGATTTCTAAGTTTTCCTCTTTTGAAATAATTACTTCATTACAAATTGGAAATAGCAAACATTTAATATCTTGGCATCTGTAGCACAGACATCAGGTTCACTGCCCATTTTTATTTTTTCCCCAAATTATGGGAAGATAATGGGAAATAATATTATGATTGATTGAGAGTATAAATAAAAGCAGGACATACAGAAAAATCTCTGCCGTTTTCTGACCTGTGGAAATTTTGAAAGTAGCGAGGGAAAAGCAATATTAAGCATTTTGTTCTGTCCATTTGGGGTGAGGTGGTGTTTTGTACGAAAAAAGATAAACCATCCAAGAGGCACCATTTTCTGTAATTAGGACAGAAAGCTCCCCTTCTCTATGCATGTTTTTATTGTGTCTTTATGAATAAATTCAAACTGTCTTTATAAACAGATGGAGATCAGCACTGTGATACAATATGGATAAGAGGGTTCTCATGTGGTCCTCTCGTCTGCAGCCTGCTTCAGATCAGAATTGGCTGTGGCTAATTCATATCACAGAATTCAGCTGATCTCTATAAGGAAAATACAAGTTAGTTCTTCTTCAGAAACATTTATATGAGTTCCAAATGGCTTGGATGAATAATACCATCTTCCAGATATGCTAAGCATCATTTTTGTCAAACGCCTAATTGGAAAAATACTATAAATTTTGCTAATTAGTGTGGTTGCCTGAATGTGTCATGGACTACTTGCTGTGGGCCTTCAAGATGTCCAGTCATCTGTGAACCCGGAGAATATAATTACAACAGTATCACTTAGCATTTGTATACCACTTTTAATCCTCAAAATTTTATACAAGTAGGATCCTTTAATGCAGATCGAAATTCCACTATTTTTAGTGGAGAGAAGTAATACAAAGAGAAATGAGGAGCAGTCAAACGTTAACATGGGTTTGGATCAGGAGTTGGCGATACAAGGTTTTATTTCAGAGTGTTTGTGAAAGGGAGCAAGGCTTCTCCAAAATCAGTGAGGTTAGAACACACTTTGCCGAGAACTTTCCCCTTCAGAGAGGTGAGGAATTCTCTGAGGGAAAAAGTGACGCCAGAATAGTTTGCAAGCCTGCTTTAAACTGTGGATTCTTTGATAGTGTGCTTATGGCAAGCATGTTCGTTGGTGTAGTCATCTGTCCTCTGAAAGTCGCTAACACCCTCGAATGTAACTAGTTATCAGTTCACTTTGACACTGTACCACTCATACTGCTGCAATCACATTTTCCTTTTCTGTCTAATCTAGATAGTATTCCTCATATTTATTCCGCCTGGGCAAAAGATAAAAAAACTTTGGGAAAACTTGGGCAACAGTCACTTTTTTTGTTTTTCATATAGGAGAACCTGGTGCCCTGGAAGAACATATCCGGCAGCTGGACAAGGCCTTAGACACCACTCGTTTACAAATACAGCAAACGGAAAACATCATCCGCAGCAAAACACCTACAGGGCCAGAGCTGGATTCCAGTTACAAAGGATATGTGCGTGTGTTTTGGAGCACAAGTAGAATAAGCACTCCAACCTTAGATTTGCTATTGAAAGAAATATAGCTGTTTCTACAAAGCCATTAGATGCTACTGCTTCTCAGACTTGCTCACTCATATGGTTGCTACTCTTAACCACTTGCTATTGTTGTTTGTGTTATTAGTGTGTTTACAATAGCATAAGATTGCAGGAACATGACTCTAAGGAATTTATTTTCCTATTACATTTTTGCAGATGTCCAAAAGTATTTTCTCAGATGTGTTTTTATCCATCTAATGACGGTATCCTTGTTTAAAATTCCTCTGCTTTAAAAAGCAGGTTTTATAGCTTCATGCACAGTATTAATCTTGCTGATGAATTATAAACACACATAATGTAAGCACGGTTGCATATATAGAATCCATGATTAAAAAGCTTTCTCAGGTTTTCTGGAAGAAGAATCTCTCACTAAATCATTCAAATAATTTTTTTAAGGACAGAATTGAAAGATTATCTGCTTGGATGCATAGTAATATTTCCACACATTTATTTTCTTTATCACATCTTCTAGTGTCTTTGCCATAGTGTCTTAACATTTAGAACACACGACATTGAAGTCATCCAGCACGATTTGGCACAGTGGCACTGAGTTATTTCTATTTAGCCTGAACTTATGCTTTAAGCCTTTTTTGTCTCCGTGTACATTTCATTGATAGTATCAGGGTACTGTTAAAGTGATAGATTTTTATCTTCACACTTAGACCTACTTTTGGTAAATTGTGGAAGTTGCATTGTAATTTGCATTTTCCATGCAATTAGTCCAGTAGGGTGTATATTGAGATGGGATTTTTTGTTTGTTAACTCAGATGAAGCTACTAAGCGAGTGCAGTGGAAGCATAGACTCAGTAAAAAGGCTTGGATATAAACTGAAGGAGGAAGAAGAAAAATTATCTGGACTTATTAACCTGAACAGCACTGAAACACAAACAGCTGGTAAGTAACTTTTAGTTCTTCGATGGAAAGCAACTATGAAAAGTTGCAAACATGCAAAGTTTTTCTGAATAAACACTTGGTATTATTTACTTATATATTTACATTATATTTATATTTTACTGTTACCATCTTCTGCTTAACATCTTTTAATAACAATAGTAAGGAATAGTAAGCATTCCTTGTATATGCCCTATAAAGAGATAAGGCATACAAGTGCATTTTGAGAATCCCTTCATAAGCATGAGACATAACGTTAAGCCTTTTGGAAAGTCCCTGTGGATGCAGTGAATTTTTGTTGAATGTTTTCTGATGAAAAAAAAGGTTGCTTATATTGCCGTACAAAACATGTAAGTCAGAATTCATTTCTTCTAATATTATCTTTCCCTTCAAATGTTGTCTGTCTACAGTACAGAAATCTAAAATCTATATTCACCTGATAGAAATATTCACCTGACTAATTTTAAACGTCAGCGTCAGGTATTGCATTGTAAAAACACGGATTTGTTCCAGAGACTATAAAGGCGATGTCTCCATTTTTAGCTTGGCAAGATATGCTACCCATTCAATCCTTCCTTTTTTTTTTTTTTTTTGATGGAATGATATAATTTGTCCTTCTTCCGTAGCATTTCAAGATAACTAAAAGAAAGAGCCCCTAATTTATTTCTTTGTAGCACAGCTATTTATCCAATGCATTAGTAGTAGCATAGGAAAATGTAGTGAGTTGTGAGTATTAAGTTGTGATAGGTACAAATGCCAATGAAAATAATAATAAATATGCGTCTAGTTAGACATATTCAGATTCCTTGTCTGGTTTGCATTTATGCTAATTTATGATGTCTTTATACCAGCATAACCTGTTTTAGAGACCTGCACGTATCACCTTAATTCCGTTCACAGAAGTCTGACATTAGAAAGTGGTAAAATTGCCTGGTGCCTAGAATCATCCAGATTCTTTATTCTTTCTCTCCATCATCACGTTCTTTAATCTAACTTAGTTTTCAGAGTGATGTTTCATGGGATAGGGTTGTTTGGTTTTTATGGAGGCTTTTTTTGTCCTGCACAGGATTCAACTGATGCAAATGCATGTGTGGTTAGTGGTTTTTTGCTTTTGTCAAATTTGGTGTTTATCATTGCAGGTGTAATTGACCGTTGGGAATTAATCCAGGCTCAAGCTCTAAGCAAGGAGCTGAGGATGAAGCAGAACCTTCAGCAATGGCAGCAGTTTAACTCCGACCTTAATAGCATTTGGGCTTGGTTGGGAGCAACTGAAGAGGAACTGGAGAAGCTCCGCCGCCTTGATCTCAGCACTGACATACAAACTATTGATCTCAGAATTAAAAAACTGAAAGTGAGTTCTCTTTTTTCTATGGGTTACCTTGTAAACAGACCTGAGTGTGACAGATATGTTGAAGAGGTTTCCAATAGTTGCAGCTGGTTTGCTCTGTTCTACATGTAGCAGGCTACTGCTGGTAACTGAAGTAACTGGGAAAGTGATTTTATAAATCACCTTTGGCAGAAGAACGTACCCCTGGAACTTACTACATAATCCAAGTGAATTTTTGAAATAGCAGTTCTGTGGCAATTCTGTAATTCCAGAATGTACAGATAATTCCTGATGTCAGCCATGCTGATGAAAGGAAAAAAAATAAATAAGCCAAGTTAAATCAAATCTCTTCTAGTCAAACTGGTAACAAAATAACTACTTTAAAAGAAATGCCTCCCTGGGACAGATTATTTTGTGTGTGGAGGAAGGAGAAAGTGCCCAGTGAGATTGCAACCTACCCATTGCTGGTACCAGTACAACATAGGAAAAAATTGGTGTCACTTTGCAACCTTCCTGTTTCTTCTTCTGTCATCTCAGATGCATAATGTAAATGCTGCCTTTGTGATCTCTCCTGGATATTTTACAGCTATAAAGATCTGCAGAAGTGGTGGTCCACAACTTCAGATTCAGTTACTAGCATCTTCTAAGCTTGCAGACAAAAATGTGGGAGCAAATTTCAAAATGCACTGTGCTCCATGCTAGGAATGAGGTGGACAGATAGGAAAGACTGTTTCCGTCAGTGATCCATCTAAAGCATATTAATGCTGATCTTCACTGGAATCCAAATATAGCTGCCATAAGTACTGCAAAGGTCACTGTGACATGGGGCTTTTAAGTAAATGCTGTAAAATAGGTGGAAAGGGGACATTTCATAAGAATCCTGTTCTTATCTCACCCACTCTTGGAAGGTCCATTAGTGCCCTCCAAACCAAAAGAGGTGGAGTTTCTTTTGTGGCTTCCAATGTAAACAAATCAGAGTCTGTATACACGTCCTGCTTCTATAAATTGGAGTAAGTTGTTTATACTCTTTGTATGTTTTCTTTTCCCTCAGCAAAAGCTTTTATTTTAAAATACTGTTGACAGCAGTTTCCACTTGAAAACATGTTGGTTTTTATGTTTATCAGCAAAACTGAGAAATGAGGGCAAAAGTTTTATTGTGAGATAAAGTACAATTGTCCTACATCTCTTCAAATTTTGTTTGCCCTGCTCTGTCTTTAAAATATCTGAAACATGAGCCAGATCTTTAAAATTCAACTATGACTTCAGGCTTTTAAGATTTTACAAGTTTAATTGGCTTGTTCTAGTTTATGCTCACAGTAAAATTTTAGTAGATGTTAAAGAATTACCATCTGCAGAGTCACAGAGTGAGCACAGAAATCTCATATCTGGACTGAAGAGGCTTCTACAGTAAGGTGCCATCCTGCAGCTGCTGATGGCAAGTCACTTCATTCTTGTGGTGCTTCCTCTGCTTGGTTTTTCTGAAAGTCGCATGTTTTACCGATTTCCATCCTTTCTTCCCCTATCCCGCTTTGTCTTATCATCCAGGAGCTGCAGAAAGCAATTGATAACCGCAAAGCAATCATCTTATCCATCAACCTGTGCAGCTCAGAGTTCACTCAGTCTGATAGCGAAGAGAGCAAGAAGCTTCAAGAGCGCCTGTCTCAGATGAACGTGCGCTGGGACCATGTATGCAGTATGATCGAAGAGTGGCGCTGCTCATTGCAGGATGCATTAATGCAGTGCCAGGTCTGTACTGTGCTTATTTTAAACTGTTGGCACCCCACATATCAAAACTGTAAACCATATCATTATCCAGTTTGCTCGTTACCCGGTCTGAAACTTACCCATACAAGCCAAAATACAGCTTTGGCCTATGTTGTCTGAAAGATACACCTGCACTACCTGAAGCATGTATTTCCAGCCCAAGATTTTTTAAATTCTGGAATAGCATGCTAATATACTATTCTACCCTTCCTTATAAGTTATGTTATTTATCCAGTGGGACCTGTCATAGGATAAACTGAAAAACTGAATTTGACCTGAATTTTCTGCTACACTATTAAGATCATCACTCATCACTTGCAGGATTTCCATGAAATGAGCCATGGTTTGCTGCTTTGGTTAGAGAATATTGACAGAAGAAAAAATGAGATTGTGCCCATCAATCCAAACCTGGACTCAGAAACGCTCCAGGATCATCACAGACTTCTAATGGTAGGGCTATAACCACCCCTTTCTCTCCCAAAACACATAATTGGAAAAAAAAAATTGATCAGATTTGTCTTTTTCTTGAGGATTAGCATTGTACATTGCATGCTAACACACAGTTGTGGGACCAATGTCAGTAACTAACTTTACTTTGGTAGGGAACACTACTCTGTCAGTAGCATAACTCATGGTTTAAAATCTCAGGCAACTGCTAGGTTACTGTCTATCTTCCTGTCAGATTAGAATTTTTTATTGATTCTCTTTTCTTTCCATTTCATTAATTTAAAATGTCCAGTTTTGTGAGTTCTAGCTTTTTTCCCTTCTTTTTTTTTCCTAAATTCCATTGAAAAATCTGGTGGTTGCATTGCAACAGCAAATCAGACGTGAACTGCTGGAATCTCAGTTGAAGGTGGCAACACTGCAAGATATGTCCTGCCAGTTGCTAGTCAATGCTGAAGGCAAGGACTGTCTCGAAGCCAAAGAAAAGGTGCATGTAATTGGAAACAGACTGAAGCTTCTCTTGAAGGAGGTCACACATCATATTAAAGACCTAGAGAAAATTCTAGACATTTCAAGTAGTCAACTGGTAAGTCTTTCCTTGCTGTTCATTGAGCACACATTTCCCACTGTTTTGACTGTCTTTCTCTGATCAGTGCTTTTGGCTGCACTATTTCTGTTGTCTGTAATACTTATCAAGATGGTACACATGTAATCTTGAATATCATAAAGTAATCTTAAACTTCACAATGTAAACATCTCTTTTGTGTTATGGTGGATTTTTATAATCCAGTAATTTTTTTGCTATTTGATGTAGCAATAAGTACTGAATATCTTGGTTTGTTTATCCTGCCATTACTGATTCAGTCAACTGGCAAAGTATATAAGATAATTATTCTAGTTGCAGTACTTAAAATTATAATGTGTCAGTTCTCACTGGAAAGGAAGATAATGTTCACTCTGTTAAGAGGAAAAAGAAATCTGTAATAGGCTAACAAATCTCTCATAGTGGCTTCTGAGCTTTGGGCGGTATTCCAGATCTCTTCAAATTATCACGTATCTCAAGGTATTTGAGATACATCTTCACCAACAGCGGCAGGTATAAAGTAAAGATTTCAAGGTTCTCCTTTAGTTACCTTTTTTTAAAGTCTTGAATTAGTAGAGTGCATAAGGCATGGGAACTCAGCTCTTCCCTCCTTCTAGTGAATTTCTGCCTGTTTAAGTAAAATCTTGGTGGTACCAACCTCTTGTAATTTAGGGCCAATAAAGAGCAACTGGTTTTTCCCCTGTCTTGACTTTGGCAGAAAATGTGCCACCTAAAGCAATTATGTTGCAACTACTTGTTTGCCTTCTTTTACTTCAGGCCTAACAGAGAAACTATGTAATGCCTTAGTCTTAGCAGATAAATTTTGTTACCAAATCTTATTTGTTTTATTTGCTTTGGGAATAACTCTGCTGGGATTTCACTCAGGGGATTTTATTATTTTTTTTAGTTTGCTTACCTGAACAGCTAGTTGCTGTATTTCTAAGCTCCATTCCTTCTGAACTTTAGGAACTGTCCTCATGGTCCTCTGCTGATGAATTAGACACATCAGGCTCAGTGAGTCCTGCATCTGGAAGAAGCACTCCAAGCAGACAGAGAACGGTAATTTCATGTCATATATTTTCTGCCACCTCCTGGGTGGGAGCTCGAGATGTCTACAGTATCTCTAGAAAGCTGGAAGGCCCCCCTTTTCACTTGATAGGAAAGGAAATGGCATTACCAAGAACAAAACACAGCTGCTTTCCCCGGCCCTGCTGCATATCCCATCCTGCATGAAATCAGAAGTGGTAAATACTCTTTAAAACCAGGGCTGTCAGTGTGGTTGGTTTACCATGGTATGGCATGTCGTGTCTCTTGTATTTTGCTCTAGTGATGGCAGCACCCCAAAGTCTGGTCTTGTCTGGTATAATCAGTCCTCCATTTCTGTTTGGCCTTCTCTTCAGAACTGCTTCATCGAGAATCTCAATAAGGTTTCTTTGTCATTTCTGATGGAGGTTGCAAATAGTCTTATTGAGACTTTGGATGAACAGCTAAGTAGAGCTGAAGGGCATTAAACATATTCAAAACAGCTAGTTGCACAGGACCTAATCAATGGCTATGTGGGCAACTCTGGAGTTGTCTATTTACATCGCTGGCACAAAATTCAAGAAATATAGTAATACATGCCTAGTACGTAGCACTTCCATACTCTGAGCCCAAAATGGAACTGCAATTATTTTGTCTTTTTCTGCAATTCTATTGGTTGATTACTTTGCTTTTTTTCCTTAGTTCTTAAAACAATCAGGTTGGGTTTGTTTAGTTGTTTTTTTTTCCGTGTGCACTTTTTGTAAAGCCTCTGAGTTCTGTCATGATAAATTTTATGGCTCTTGAAATTGATTTTTTAATTGTTTTTTTCTTCACATTCACTAGTTTCCTTTTAGATGCTAGTATGAGAATGTAAAGGAATACTGGCTTTTCAAAAGGAGAAAATATAAACCTTAACATTTTATTTCAGAGGTCAATGCTTTTCTCTTTTAAATTTAAACTTAAATACTAATAAAAGCTCTGGTATCACAGATGTAACTGGAAGATGCCTGTCCATTACAGGAAATGGAGAAGGATTTTACCATAAAATCTTTATCTAAAGTGTATGTAGAATTATAATAGGTTTTATCTTAACATTTTAATAAGAATTTGTCAATCTCTAATTTGATAGTGTTTATGTACATGACTACTTTTTTCCATTTTTGTCCATAATGTATGATTCCGTGGGGTCTGGTTTTCAAACTTCTGGTTTTTGCACCCACAGTTTTGGAGACTGAAGTGATGTTGTTTAGAATTTCAGTGCCAAATATCCTGATGCTAAATAAACAAATACTAATACCCAAAATACAATCAGAATTATAATAATTTAATTGCATTAAATATTTCAGCAAATAGGTGTGAGTGAAGGAATGCACCTACAGTTATTTGGCCTTCAAAATTGTGGGGGGATGAGGGTGGAGAACAGGCCAGACCCATAAAAGGAGGCCCTTGGACCTATTTTCCTTGAGAATATTAGTTTTGCTGCATTTTCATTTTGAAATATCTATATTTGCCCTTAATCAACTCATTTTTTTTCTATTCCATATTACAAAATATTTGCGCTAAATTTTCTAGCATTTTTTTTTTAAATCCAGAGCTACTGTTCATAAATGTAATGACTGAATTTTATTTTTTGAGTTCACTGTGTATGTTCCAATCATTTCCATGCTCAGCTAGGTGCAAAGAAAAGCCAGTTTCCTTGGTTCATGGGTATTGGTCACTTCATTTGATTTTTTTTTTTTTATGTTTCCTTTGCTGCACTTTTAATTTAGTTTCGTCAGTAGCTTGTCTTTATTTGCCTGGACTGAACATTCTTCTTTCTTTACCCCCTGTTCATTGCAAACAGCCACGGGGCAAATGTAGTCTCTCACAGCCTGGACCCTCTGTCAGCAGTCCACATAGCAGGTACCTTATTCTCCTGGTTTCCGCACTCTGTTCTAGAACCCCAAGAGGATGATGGAAATTGGCCGTGATTCCTCTCCGTCCGCACCAACTTTGTCGGGTGGCCAGGACTTAGGTGAAAACTTCCCTTTTGTTAACAGTTTGGCAAAAGGAACTCTCAATTACGCCAAATTCTTTGTTAAATAGAAATACTGGCTAATCCTTGAACTTCTACAGATTTGCTTCCCAGGAATGCTGTGTAATCAACATTTATTTTTCATATGCTTGATCTGGGTGAGTGTGTGTTTACACTCATGATATTTAATGATTGTTTTATTTTGGTCTGGTTTAACAGAAATGCCAGTATTCTCATGGCAAACACTTTTTATCATCCTCTTTACCTCTAGGTATTAAATTAAGGCAGGTAATAGGCCAATACCAATTCTGGAATTCACAAAACCCACAGATCTGGATGAGACATACTAACATCCTTTTCTTTCTTTCTTTCTTTCTTTTTTTCCCCTGAAATGTTTTGTTCAGTTTGTGGGTTTTCAGTATTTAAGACTCAAAATTAAAAGTCAGAATTTGAGGGTTTAGAGTCTTGGGATCACTTTCTCTCCCCTCCTAGGAAGACTGCAATATAATGTGCTAACATTGCCATGATTCTTGCAGAGTGCTTGCATCCATGTATCGCTCTGGGAGCAGCACTGCCCCATCTCTGTCTGACCAGTAGAGAGCAGGCTTGCAGTTACAGCTTTTTGCTTTCCACCTTGTCTCCAGCAACCTGTCATCTCTGCAGCTAACAGTGCTTCTGCATTCTTTGTTGTTGTCAGCGTGATGTGTGTAACTTCACTCTTTCACTAGCCACTAGAGTTATGAAGTTAAAAAAAAAAAAGTGAGCAGGCAAATATGTATAAAGACGGAAGTCTTTTGCTGTTTCAGCATCTTATGTGTTGCAACTACAGTAATCAGAAAGTATGACAAAAATATACTTGTTCATATTGTCAAGTCCTAAATCTCAGTTATTCTCTGTATATCAAAAATGAGATAATTGATTTTTAAAGTAACTCCTGTTAAAGTGAAAGATTTGATGTTGGAAAGAATGCAACACTAGATTTAATACAGTGATTGAACAATAACCAAGCAGACAAAAAGTACCTTAAAAGTTTATTTTTTTTAAATGAGCAAATCAAGGATTTATTTGTCAAGATTATTGTCAAATTTAAATGAAATAAAGACTAGAACTTCTTACCATGTAGATATCTACATAAACTCTTCTTGAAAAAATAAGTTTGCTCTATGTGTGTAGTTAGTCTCTGTGAGTAAAGTGGCATAGCTGCAAGACCACACAGCATAGCAGATAGAACAGGTAGAGTAGCTTTCACTCCTTCCACTGACGTTACGAAGCTGCCTTGTTTTAGGGATTTATTTTGTTTCTTTGAAATGTAATGAAATCACATATAAAAAAGGTGACATGAACACTCCGTCTTTCTGGCTGATAGAGAAAGAGAATTAATTTTTCCAGCTCTAGTCTGCTGTGAAGCTTGGCATTTTGTTTCTTATAGGGAGTGGGAAAGGGGAGGAGTGGGACTTTACTCTGCAGCCATTCACAGCTAGGAGGAATGGAGGATGTCTTCAGCAGATCAGCATGCTTGCACTGGCAACGTTGCACTCAAGAAACATATTATGTGCGCTCTTCTGCTCTCCTGTATAGTCAGACCACTTCCACTAACCTTTTGAGAAGGTTTCTGGTTGTAGGTGTGAGCAGCTGGCTTGAAGAGCAGCTAGCAGTGCTTTGCAGCTTTGAGATCAACCTCTGTTCTAGCAGTGGCACTGGTGCGGCACCTTTCAGATCAAGTCTTTCCACCACTGTTTATTAACACATCTTGTAGCAATACAACACAATGTTCAATTTGTCATTCAGACAAGCATGGAATACGAATGAGTCACTGCTGAATAGGAAACTTAATCAAATGCGCAAGCCAGACAGGTTGTGGTTGATGTATAATGTGGTTTTAACTGATAAAACAGTACAAGCTGTCACTGTGTTCTTTAATATTTTGACATGCCTCTGATCAGAGTACTTTGTGTTTGATCTTGCACTGGATCAGCAAACCCTGTTAGAGTTTAGTATACAGGAGAACTGAAGTTAGTTTTAAAAGGTTTATCACATAGGTTGTGAATGTTCATTTAAAAATTAGAAGGGCCGTGTTTGTGTATAAAAACTGTGACATCTCTTTGCCTTCCCCATTTTCATGGCAAAAAAACAAGCCTACACAGTGATGCTAAGCAAGGTACAAGCTTAAAATAGTTGTTACATTGTGGATTTAACTAAAGGCTCATTCAAGAGGTATTAGTAATAGTGTGTTAAGTGGGAAAAGCAAATCCAAGAAGCAGCTCCTCTTGCTTCATCAGTTTAATAGAGCTGTTATAAATGCACACCTGGATGTGTGCCTGTGGATTTTTTGAAGTGATTAAAATGTTAAAAAAGATTAAAACAGTGGTTCAGTTTGCTTAGAGGTGTTTACATGGTCTCTCTTGAGCAGCTCTATTCAAGTCTTAGTGACACAATGCCAACCTCCATTTCCTGCTCTCCCCAAGCCTCCCCAAATGGCTAGTGGGTCTTTAAAGGTCACTTGCTGTTCCTGCAGCAGGCCAGGCCACACCACTCTCCATGCCTTTAGCTGCAACAATGGAAGTCATTGCCATACAGTAGCTCAGACACAAGGTTTGGACTTGACTTGCCATAGTTCTCCTAGTTATCTCTCACACTCTCACTTAGAGCTTGTTACTTAAACTACATATTTAACTGCCTTTGAAATGGACATATTCATCTTCTTTACAGGGTAAGCCAAATCTGAGGTTGGGATGATGTGATGCTAAGAGCTAGGGAGAGAATCAAAGTCGGAACGCAGCCAAACAAGGTCACTCCTAGAGAGTCACCAAGAGGAGTTGTTTCCTACTCTTGTGGGCAAAGCATCATACTTTGTCCTTCACAACTCTAACAACCTCCATCTTAAAAAATTAGAATCAGTGGGAACAAAAAGTCTACGAGAAGTTTGTTATCAAATTTAATTTCTCTGATTATCTGGAAGTACAATAATTTCCACCTTGAATATATCCATGGTCAGATGTAGTCATTTGGTTTTGTGCCAACATTATCCCTTCCTTTAACAACTGTTCACCCTTCTGTCTGTCTGTTCTGTGCTATATTATAGAGGGTAGCTTTAGTATCTCTCAGATTTTATGTTGATAAGCTTAGCTCTTTGTTTCCTTCATAGGAGAAATACTCCATTTTTTTACTCCTTTAAGCTTGTGTAAGTTTGAATTCATCCTTCAAAAGTATGTTAACCAAAATGATAAGAACTTCTCCATGTGAGGTCTGACTAGTGCCTTACAGAACATCATTAAACCAACCCTTTTTTTCTTCGGGAAATCTTGAACTGAAGTATATTTTAAAATTTCTTTTGTCCCTTTTCACAGCTATTCACAAGCCACATTATTGGTTTATGGCTGTCCTGTGTCAAACAGCTCTATATTCTCTTCATTATCTTCAGAGTGGAAACTTCCAAATTTATAGCAGAAGTTTTTATTGCTACCTTAGGTACTATAATCTTAAACTCCTTGAGCTACTCCTTAAACCTATTGGATTCACCCGCTTTTTCCTGTGCAGCAAGCCAATCCTATTCTGTATTTGCAAAGACTCCCAAGTTCTGTCATCATACAGATTAAATCTGCTGCTCTTATATTTTGTACTGTAGTCTTTTCATAAAGATATTAAGTCAAGACTCACACTTGATTAACTTCAGTAATAACATCCTACTAGCCCAGCAGTGCCTCTTTCAATGTAAGCCTGTTGTCTGCATTCCATTAGTCATTTCTCCATTAAACTCACTTTATTTATTCCTGTCAGCTTCACTTGAATGATAAATTATTCTGTTGTAATCTTTCAGATGTTTACTGCAATACAGGTAGATTACTTCAGCCATATTTTCCTTGAAAAAAATAGAGAGTAGTCATCTTTAAAAGAAGGCACTCGTCTGAGCTGAAATTAAAGTTCACTTTGCCCGTCCAGTCTATAGCCTGGTAAATTAGCTTCTCCTCTCTTGAAATACTTAGGAAAGAGTTCCAATTTCACTGACATTACAAACTCCCAAAGTAAGGGTAACTATTGCTTGCACTTCTTAGGTTAATTTATGATCTTTCTTGACATGAAGAAGCTTACTTTTGGCTGAACCTGCAGCTGTGCCTCCCCCTTTTGTCTAGTTATTAGGAACTGTGTATGGAGCGAGTAGCAGATGTCCTTACTTCCTTTCCTCATCAAACAGGGGCCAGTGTGACAAATAGTGGAGCAGTCAAAAGAGAGACAGCTAAAGATGCAAGCTCAAGAAAAAGAAATTACATTTTTTTTTCTCTAAAGTAGTATACAGTAATTCAGCCTTCCCTTCTCCTCCTGGAGTGAATGTCACTTATGAATAGTGAGCCTTTTTTAACAATGTGTATTTTTAACTATTTCTCCTTACCAAATCCATTAAACACTCTTAGCTGAGCCATTCCATTTCTCAGGCAATTGTGTAGAGGCGTACCTGCAATAAACACAGGCAGTACAGCACTTGAACTTTTTAGAACTCCTCCTCTGAAGATGTTTTCATAATGTTTCAGTATTTGCTTGTTTAATTGTTTCCATGCAGTGTAAGAAAGTATTCTTCAACACTGTACTTCACTGCAGAAAAAGTGTTTTGAAAAACATTGCCACGAAGTGTTCTAATTTTTGAAAGAAAGTTTATGTTCCTTGTCAAGATCAGCCATGCAGCTTACACATACTACTCTTTTTTCAGTTTTTTTTCTTTTTTTTTTTTTTTTTGTAAAACTCTGAAAGTGCTGGATTTTGCTACTAAAGTCATAGGGAAAAAAAAAGAAAAATTATATGCTAACTTTGCCTGCTTCTTTTTGATTCCACTTTTTGGACATTTCCCTTCTGACACCCAGTGTTGCCCCAGAGTAACTCTGAGTCAATGAAGAAAATTCAGACTTTGCTCGTTATCAAACAGCAGTTACCAGCTGCTGAAATGTGTCCTTTTTTGATTGGGATTAACAACATTTGTACAATGAGAGCCTTGTAAATAGGTAGACTGTGCAATCAAATGCTTGGAAGGTAATTAAGCACTACTTGTTCCCTTTGTTCCTACCACAGTCCATTAACTTTCTTTCTTGGCATTTTTGGACAGTAGAAGTCCTGATCTAATTGAACTTTAGTCTGGAATGCTCTGATGCTGTTAAATGTGCCATATCCTTTCAATATGTTCTTTATAATACGTGAACTTACATTATGTGATAAGCAGCTTTCCATCTGAGCTACGATAACGTGGATTCAAACAACATGCCATCTGATGTTTTGATCATTGCTCCTTCCTGGGATATTTAGGTCAAGTCAATAATTTAGCATACCTGAGTGTTCATGTATCTGTTGGTCATCTAAATGTTTCCAAATCTGTCTGGCTTTCTTGAAGTCTTCATAGTGGGATGATACACATATATGAAAAAGACAGTAAAAATAATCTCAAGCATAGAAAGAGTTCTTTTCTGAACATGTGTGAAGGGGACCCTTGGCAAGCCTGGTGTAGTTTTGAAGATTATATTTTGTTTTTTCCTGCTTTCTCACACAGATTCAGATTTATCTAGGAGGCAGGATCAAAAGGACAAGGGGAAGGCAAGGAGGTACCAGGGAACCATCACCTCCTATTTGCTTTACTGGGGAGCATTTGACCTTGGCCAACAGGCCTGATCTCCACACCTTCGAGCTGAGACTAGTTCCATCCTTATGAGCATTTTTATCTCTTAAACCCTAGCAAGCCATAGGTTTTCTGGGGCTTCATAATCATAGCAGCCGTGCGAATGTTTTATAGCAACATGTCTAAGACAAAATTCACAATCTAATGTCTTAATGGAAGAGTTCTTTAAGCAAATTATTCAAAGGCTCAAAGTTCTTCCATTTTGGCTAGTGCTGAAATACAATACTTTTCCATGCCATTTAGTTAGCACGCTGAGACCATCCACTTTCAGTCACCCACTTATCTCAAAACCTGTCATCCATATATTAAAGCTCTGACAGTTGCAGTCAAAAAGGAACATGTGAAATCTATGTCTTTATCCTTCGTTAAAAAATAGGTTGGACTTTTGTGCTTAATTTGAAGTGTCCCTTTGGAAATGTTTGCGATAGGTCTCGCCTCTCCCATAGATACGTGATACATATGTGCCATTTCAAGTCAGATCCATAGACATAAGGGAGAAAATCACATGGAACGTGATGGTGTCAAGTCAGTTGAGCAAACAGATTTTAACGGCTGATTCAGTGCAAGTTTCAAAATACAATGCATTTGTATAATAAAATACTCATTTGTATAATAAATACTCATTTGTAGAAAATGAGTCCCATTTGCCTGCATATTGGTGTATTAATTAATTGAAGATTGATGTAACTGAATCTTAATGCATTATACCCTTGTGGATACTATATACAGAAATGAATGTAGGAACTTCCGCAGACCAAATGCAACTCGCATTTTAAATGGAGAGGCTCCCTTTTTAGGCAGAGTGCATTGAACGTATGTGACAGGTATGGCCCACCTTGTATTTTCCCCTCCTCTAGACCCCAGTGCTTTAAATGGAGAGTCTTCCCCATAACTGACAGAGATGCTGTGGAGTCACAAAGATCATTCTATTGTGATCGTTTGTTGTTTTCCTACCCAGTCTAGAAATACACAGTCTCTTAAGAATGTTGGGGAAATAGCAAGTTCAGTGAAAAATACCTCTGCAGTTGTCGATCAAAGTCTGTACAAATTGTAAACAAGCCTTCAGGGAAGGCTGAGTGCCCGAGGGCAACCTGTGCTTCAGTAATGTTTTAGTGTATTCACCTGTCCATCCTCTTTTCTCAGGTCCACAAGAGGTGGCTCAGGTTCCTCCCCTTCTGAGGCCGGGCCAGTGTGGCAGCGCCCGTCCTTCTTCCTCAGAGTCCTCAGAGCTGCTCTGCCACTTCAGCTCCTCTTGCTGCTCCTGATCGGGCTGGCTTGCCTGGTGCCAATGACCGAGGAGGACTACAGCTGTGCTAT